TACTTTTTCTTTAAAAATGGATACATCACCCACAAACATCGTCAGGAATTACTCTGGATATCAGAAAGTTATACAAGACTAATTATATGATATCCCCTTTTATAAAATGGCAATTCAATAAAGTATACAACATTCAACATTGAAAGACCAAGTCTCTTCCTAGTCTAGAAGGCCCATAACAACTCACAAAGTTCCCCCAAATTCTCATATTTGCTGGTGATTTTTTCTTCATGTCCTATTGTAATACAATTTCTGACCCATCCCAACCAATGGAGAGTGAGGAAATACTCTATGGAGTTTTACCTATTTTCAACAAAGCATCATTCACAATATTAACAATATGACAATTGACTTTGGTCTGTTTTTATCTTTCAGGCATCTGGCATCAAACAAAAACAGTGTAACAATTCTCCAGGAAATCTTATCATTAATGAAATCCTGACATCATTTTGCTACCTAGGACAAGGAAAAACACATGTTTGGAGGCTCTAGTTATTCTCAACCATCTTAGGTGTATTAATGGATTTTCAGAACAAGAAGATTGAAAGAGAGGTTGGAGAGAAGGCTCCGTGGTAAGGAATACTGTCAGCTCTTGGACAGGACCCGGATTTGGTTCCCAGCACCAACAAGGCAGCTCAGAACAGTGTGTAAGTCTTCTTCCAGGGGATCTTTTACCCTCTGCTGGCCTCAACAGGAATTGCACCACATAGGTGTACTTAACATGCATGCATGCCAAACACTCATGCACTTAAATTAAAATGCATAAGTACATAAATCTTTAAAAAGAAAATGTAAAGACATTTCTTGGACCCCTTCTTGAATCCCTATTCTACTCCTATTTAGAGGCTGGTTTGTGGTTCATTAGCAGTTGCAGTAGGGACTCAGGCCTGCTGCTGGGGCATCACCCACATCCTGGAACTTGTCAGTACCTGGGGCTCCATTGCTGGCAGGTTCAGGGCCGCTGACACCTGCTGCTCCAGAGGTTGCTCCAGATGAGGCCTCAGGGGTGACTGGTGTTTATCACAGTTAAGAGGAAACAACAGATGGAATACAAAGAAAGTGCTTCTCATGAGTACGAAATGAAGTTCACATTGCTCCCTTAATAAAATGAATTCATCTACTCAAACATTCCTGTGATGATTTATTTTGATAATATTTTCTTTCCCTTAAAATGGTATCCATCAATGACAAAGCATAGTAATTGTGCAAGTAAGTCAAACTCCTCACGGAGTGAGGTTGGCAATTGTAGGACTGTCTTAGGCCCCTGTGAACATTATCTCCTCCTGACAGCTTTCAGCATGATCCTTTAGCTCCTGCATATCCATGATTGACAATTTTTCATGAAACTTTCCTGGTATGGCAGACTTTATCCTCCAACATGAACAAAAAAAAATCCTTTCTTTCTAATCCTGATTTGTCAGCTATTTAATCACAATAGAAAATACCTAGTATGACATGAGAGAAGACACAGTGGTCAGAGTCTCTGCAAACCTCACCTCATTTAACGACATGCTCACTGTCTCCTGCCTGTCTGCCCCCTGCTCTGCTCCCTCAGAACCTACTCCTCCAGATGTGCATCCCCCAGCAGCTCCCGCAGTGGCTTCAGCTCTCACTCCAATTGTTCCTTGGGAATAAACAATGGGGTTCACTGCAGCTATGAAAACCTCCCAGGACACTGATAGCTGTATTCACATTATTAGTGTCCACAATGTGGTTATGCTCCTCTCTGATCCTCTCTGCCAAGGCTTGTGCTGACCCCACCCCAGCCCCTAGAGCGAGAGGTCTTGACTTACCTGACGCTGATACAGCGCTCCAGGCTCCAAATCTTCCAGCCGTGCTTCTCCTGCCTGCTCCCGAGGTTGTTTCCAGAGACTCTTCAGCCGAACCTGACAAACAGGAGCAGTGGATTCAAATTTGCTGATTCCTCTGAAGGGACAGTGGCGAGTTCAAGTCAAATTTTCATCATCTGCTCCTTTCCCATTATGATCGAGATGGCACACCTGTTGTCCAGGCTGGACATGTTTAAAGTACTAAGGTGCATGGTTTGAATTACCTGAGTCTCCTTGACGTGGAGTTCCAGGACTGTGTTCTCTGGGCATGCTGTGCTCCCCACCAGTACGTATCAAGACAGAAAAAAAATTAATGTTGTGAAAAATCACTGTATCGGGTGGCAAGCCTCATTGACTCAATGTGATTAAGTGACACCCGCCCCCATTTCAGAAGTAAATAGCACATCCACCACCCAGACATAAGCATCTAGTGCCATTTGGGTTCCTCCATCACCTGTCAAAGATTAATTCTCAAAGTGTTGTCGTTTATGGTTTGAACATGCCATAGATGTAGATAGAGAAATGACAATTTTTATTAAAATGATAAGAAGCACAAGTTTTTGTTCTCTAGATAGAACAAAGATCCCATTGTGTCATGTTACTCTCTTTCTAAGGGCAGGATCCCTGTTTCAAGTTAATACATCAAGAACCTCAACAGATACTGGTGGACGCTACTCACCTGGGGAACCAACTTGAAGTGGCCCCTCTCATGGGCACTCAAAGGGCCCAATAACAAAGGGCATAATTGACAGAGAGCTTACTGCTACCATAGGCACCCTGCTTCAGATGTTTCAAAATATGCATTCAATGGACATCACGGTAAATGTACAATCAGTTTAAGATGGTTACAAATACTTATTGCATGACTTGTGTCTAGATTCTTTTTTCAACCAACTGTTTTGTCAGTATATATTATCCTGAAACATACTTAAGCCATATATGTAAAGTGAATTGAATTGCTGAGAGATGTTTAGGATAACATCACACCATAGATTCTGTCTTAAACCACATATTTTAAGTCAAAGAAATTGCTGAGAAAGGTTTAGCATAATATCAGGGCTGAGATTAGCTAAAACAAGATATGTGAGGGTGCAGGAGAGAAGGCTCACTGGTTAAGAGCACTGACTGCTCTTGCAAGGACCTGCATTTGATTCCAGCACACACATGGCGGCTAGCAAACATCCCTACGTCCAGTTTCAGGGGACTCTAACACCCTCTTCTGGCCTCCATTGGCATTGCAATGCAGGGGCGCACTTATACACATGAAGGCAATACACTCAATACAAACAATAGAAATAATAAATAAAATATTTTCTTAAAGTAGTTGAAGTCCCATATAAACATTGAAGAAATGGTTTTGGCGGTATGCAAAGTGCGGTTTTATTTGGTGGTCATCAGAATATTAAGTGTCACAGAAACGGAAGTTAGTTGGGTGTTTGAAACTGATGCGTACCAACAGTGCAGGACACAAGGACAAGGACAGCTTTTGACTTTTGTGCAATATGACCCGTTCCCATATATCATAGGCCAGTGGTTGTCCATGAAATTTAAGAATGTGATTCCCAATGATGACACTGCAACTTGGACAACTCAGCAAAGTCTCAACTCAGAGGGAGGTTACCACCACAGATTCATGTCCACTAACTTACCTAACACACAGGGAGGTTGAAGGAGAATGTCCAAGTGTCAAATAATGATATCATTTATTAACACATCATTTAATTTTCTACTGACATATATCTTACTCTTACATTCTATGAATTCTGCATCATTTATGTTTTTTGTTTCCTCTCATTGCTACTGTTGTTATGACTATGGACTCTAGGGTTTTTTCTAATAAGGGACAGAAAACAATGCACCATTGCAGATACCTGGATAAGCACTTCCCACTCTCAGAAAAGTAGGAGTGAATAATTGCAATGTGGCATACTTTAAAGCAATTTGTGAATAGATTAAAGATACTACACTGAAATTATATGAAAAGAATAATCATCTAAGTTTGACATTATATCAGGGTGAAAAGTCTGTTCAGCATTCCCTAAAACAAGCAGACAACAGACAGTTTCTTCTGAGCTGAGTTTACCTTCTGTGAGCTCAGGAGTTGTGGAGCTCAAGATTCCTGTGGTCCCTGCACTTCCAGAGACAGAGGTGACAGGAGCTGAGGTTGCAGCAGAGCCTGAGAAAACATCAAAGTGACTCTCAAAGTTTGCATGATTTTTATTACCATTGAGGTACAACTTCTTAAACTGTTCTGCTATGGAAAACTGAACAACCAAATGCAGGAAATTAGCACAGACTTCCCCAACGTTTGCTTGATATGATTTTCTCAAATATTTTCTTTATACTCTCAGGCACTGCTTTGACATACACATAGATAGAGGTTGGATGTATGTCAGCTAGAGGGTCATGCATTGGACAAGCTACCCTGGGTGAAATAAGAGAGAGGGGCACATGATTCCCATCTCTGCGCATAAGCTGCTCACCTGTCGTCTTTGGCTGGTGTCAGGTCACTGCTTGAGGCTCGCATTGTTTGGCCAAGGGACGGGGCAGTGCTGCCTGTTGGGGAGAACAGCAGGGCAATGTGGGGACTCTGACAGGGTGTCAGGTCAGCTGCTCTTGGCTGAAACCTTTCATCTAGTCACAGACACGTCTGCGTTTCTGAATCTGACTTTCCAACAACTGATCATAAATGGTGACATACGTCTTAGAAATCACATGTGTGCTCATTTACATACTGAATGCAAATTAGACTTCTGGCATGGTTTTTTATTTTAATATTGCAAAATTTGAGCTTAGTTCACAACCAGGCTTCTCACTGGCATCCACGGACCCTTTAAAACAATTTTGTCTGAGGAACAAGTTCAATGACTCTGTAAGTGGCACTCTAGTCATATTGCAATTATATCGCTACTACCTAGGAAGATTGCAAGCTTCCTTTTCTTCCCGACATCCACAGTCAAGATGTCACTGATTCCTCCAACTACTTCAGTCTGAAGTTCACTTAGGACAAGATCACACAAATGACCTATGGAGACCTTCATCACTGCCTGTTAGTGCAAGGGGCTTCACAGAGCCGATCATTTACGATGGCTCTGCATTCCAAAAATGTCTGGATACACACACAGGGTACAAGCAGAGACTCCAGTTGGACTTTTCTATTTAACTTACCTGGTCTGCCACTAGCAGTGGCTGTGGCTGGCCTGGCTGATGCTCCTGGGTTTGCAGTGGCCGACCCCACCGACACTCTAATGTTTCCTAGAATCAAAAGAGGTTATGAGTTGGGGAACTGCATATTCTTTCTGCCTTTACTGTGAATACCTTGGGAACTCAGGAGAGTACAAGCCACTTTCCCTCCAGCTCTCCTCAGCCTGCATCCAACCAGAGATAGGCTGGTTGTACCCAGGAACACAGTGCACAGCAGGGCATGGAGGGGAGCTGCTGTGGCATCACCCAGCCCCTGGTTCTTACCTGTGGCTACTGTGCTTGCTGCCCCAGGGTTTCTGTCCCCTGCTGCCCCTGAGATTTCTCCAGATGATGACCAGGTTGAGCCTGATTCTGACCAGGGGAAAAAGTTCAGGTGAAGAAAACGTGATGTTAGATATTTTTATGAAAGTGATTTGAAATCTGCTTGCATCAGTACAGTGGGATCTCCTTCTCCAACTATTAAAAAAAAACAGCAATTAAAAATGCCATAGATGAAAATAAAATGCCTGATGTCACTAAACTCCACTGAATCAGGTTATACCATTCACACTGATTGGACATAATAAAGTGAACTGCTACAGTGTGAGGAGGTGAAAAACATATCCACAAGTGAAATTTGAGCATCTGGCTGAGCTGAACTCCTTAAAAACTTGAGCCAGAGATAAAAATTATGACATTAACAGACTGCAGTTTTATGCTTTGAAAATGCCACAAATGGAGATAGAGAAATGAAAATATTTTAAGTTACAGCATATAAAACACATCTTTGTTCTTCAGATAGATAAAAGCCCATCCTGGGAAACTGTTTTGTTTCTAGACCATGAACTCTCCTTTGGGTCCAACAGACAGTGCTGGATGCCCTCAGCTGTAGACTGAATTTTGAGTAGCCCTCCTCGTGACCTCTGACAGTGCCTGGTACCAGAGGACACAGTGGACTGAGAAGTTATTTTAATTCCGTCTCAGAAGTTAGGAAATATAGGTTCAACAGACATCACTTTAAAGTTGCAATCAGTTCAAACTCATTGCAATTAGTCTCTTGAATAGTGCTCCTGTGTCTAGATTTTGTGTTTTGACTGATGATTTTACACTATCTTCTAAAATACTTGTCATACATTTTAAGTCACGTAAGTTGCTGAGGAAATAAATGTAAATTTTGCGTTTTGACTGATGATTTTACACTATCTTCTAAAATACTTAAGTTATACATTTTAAGTCATGTAAGTTGCTGAGGAAATAAATGTAGGAACAATAACATCAGTGCATACATTAGCTTCAAATGGCATTTGACATACCAAGTAAACATTTTAAAACGGTTTGAATACTTGTAAAGTTAGGAAACGCAGATCCATGATGAGAGTGGTTTGTGTGTCCATTCTGTTAGGCCTTGACGAGTATGAGTGTGAAGGAGGGACAGGGAAGCAGAGCTTCTCCAGCGGTGCTTTTCAGAGCTGAACTCTTAGCACTCTAGAGACACTAGACCATTCACCCTTGCCTTCTGTGGGACGTGAGCTCTTTCCCCAGATCACAGAAGAGTTGGCTCCAGCTGTCCATGAGACGTTAGAACAGGAGGGCCTGTTTGCACAGCTTGGACATTTACCAATTTCTGAACATGTAGGAATGGTACCATCAAGGGACCATGTTGACTAACTTACAAACTGCACATGTAAAATTAAGCAGGGAACAGCAATGTGTCACGGGATTTTAAGTTTATTTTATTAACACGCTATTGTACTATTCCAGCTGACTTCTTTCTTGGTCTTACCTTCTTGGGATACTGGGCCATTTCCTTTGTCTGCTGCTGTGGAGACAACTGGAGACTCTAGAGTTGTCTCTGATAAAATGTAGAAAATAAAAATTTGCATGAGCACTTCCAGCTCTCAGGAGAGGAGGAGCATGTAATGATAACATGGTGTACATTAAACAATTTGTGAAAAGAGTAAAGATGATGGATTTATGCCACTTATAAGGAGTGAGCATTAAATCTGATACTGTACGTAGCGGGGTATGTATTCAGCATCCTCTAAAAGAAGCTAGCATCAGGACATTTGTTCTGAGCTGAGTTTACCTTCTGTGAGCCCAGGAGTTGTGGAGCTTGAGCTCAAGGACACTGTGGTCCCTGCACTTCCATCTACAGGGGTGACGGGAGCTGGAATTGCTACAGAGCCTGAAACAACATCACAGAGAATTCTCACTTAATGATTGCATGGGTTTTGTTACCATTGAGAGGTACAACTTCTCAAATTGTCCTACTATGGATAACACAACAAATGAATACAGGAAATTCTGCTCAGAGTTCACCTAACTTTTATTTGTATGATATTTGCACGATATTTGTATGATATTCTCAAATACTTTGGGTCCTACCATAAGGCACTGTTTTACACACACACACACACAGACTCACACAAATAGACACCAGAAGTGTGTCAGCTACATGGTCATGCATTAGACAAAGCTACCCTGGGTGAAATAAGAGAGAGGGACCCATGATTCCCATCTCTGAGCATCAGATGCTCACCTGACTTGTCTTCGGCCGGGGTCAGGTCGCTGCTTGAGGCTCCCGTTGCTTGGCCAAGGGATGGGGCAGTGCTGCCTGTTGGGGAGAACAGCAGGGGAACGTGGGGACTCTGACAGGGTGTCAGGTCAGCTGCTCTTGGCTCAAAACTTTCATCTAGTCACAGACACATCTGCATTTCCGAATCTGACTTTCCAACCACTGATTGTAAATGGTGACACACTTCTTAGAAATCACGTGTGTGCTCATTTACTTACTGAATGCAAATTAGCTGCCTGGCATGTTTTTTTTTTCATATTCCTAAATTTGAGCTTAGTTCGCAACCAGGCTGCACACTGGAATCAACGGACCCTTTAAAAAATTTTTGACTGAGGTACAGGTTCAATTAATCTATAAATGGCACTCGAGACATATTGCAACTATATCTCTACTACCTAGGAAGATTACAAGCTTCCATTTCTTCCAGATATCCACAGTGAAGATGTCACTGATTCCTATAACTACTACAGTCCGAAGTTCACTTAGGACAAGATCACACAAATGCCCTATGGAGACCTTCATCACTGCCTGTTAGTGCATGCGGCTTCACAGGGCCGATCATTTACGATGGCTCTGCATTCGAAAGAATATCTGGATACACACACAGGTACAAGCAGACTCCAGTTGGACTTTTCTATTTAACTTACCTGGTCTACCACTAGCAGTAGTTGTGGCTAGCCTGGCTGATGCTCCTGGGTTTGCAGTGGTCGACCCCACAGACACTCTAATTAGTTTCCTAGAATCAAGAGTTTATGAGTTGGGGACATGCATATTCTTTCAGCCTTTACTGTGAATGCCTTAGAAATTCAGGAAAAGATAGTGCAAGCCACTCTCCATCCAGCTCTCCTCAGCCTGCATCCAATCCAGAGAGAGGCTGGCTGTACCCAGGAACACTGTACACAGCAGGGCATGGAGGGGAGCTGCTGTGGCATCACCCAGACCCTGGATCTTACCAGAACCTGTCGCTACCGTGACTGCTGCCACAGACGTTGCTCCAGATGTTCCAGGTGAGCCTGACACAGAGCAAGAGACACATGTCAGCATAAGGGAATGTGACGTTAGGAGCTTTTTGAACATGGTGCTAAATATGTTTGCTTTTTCTTTAAAAATGGATACATCACCCACAAACATCACCAGGAATTACTCTTGATCTCAGATAGTCGTACAAGACTAATTATATGATATTCCCTTTTTATCAAATGGCAATGCAATAAAGTATACAACATTCAACATTGATAGACCTTGTATATTCCTAGTCTAGAATTCCCTTAACAACTCACAAAGTTCTGCCAAACTCTCCTATTTGGTGTTTATTTTTTCTTTATGTCCTATGGTAATACAATTTCTAACCCATCGCAACCAACGGAGAGTGAGGAAATACTCTATCGAGTTTTACCTATTTTCTACAAAGCATCATTTACAATATTAACTATATGACAATTGACTTTGGTCTGTTTTTATCTTTCAGCCATCTGGCCTCAAACAAAAACAGTGTAACAATTCTCCAGGAAATCTTATCATTGATGAAATCCTGACATCATTCTGCTCCCTAGGACAAGGAAAACGCATGTGTGGAGGCTAGAGATGAACATCTGGCATTTTCTTTACCACTCTTCACCTTATGTATTGAGACAGGTTCTCTCACTGAACCTGTAGCCAGACCAGCTGGCCAGGGAGTCCCCAAGATCCTCCTGGCTCTGCATCCCTAGCACTGCAATTACAGGTGCATATCATCATACCTGCCTTTCCATGTGGGTGTTGGGGTCAAACCTGACTTCATGCTTGCACAGCATACAGTTCACCAACTGAGCCATTTTCCAAACCCCTGTTTTCCTATTAAAACAACTCTGTTGTTTTATTTATGGAAATATTCCCCCACAAGATCTCTTGAGTTTCCCTTTCTCTTTTCTATCTGAGCCCGGTGTCCTCCTGCATGGCAGAGTGATAGATTTCTCTTTCATTTGCATACCCTGTTTCTTTTCATTTTCTTGTGTCGTTTTTGGAATGGGCTTCTCAGAACCCTGATCTCTATGTGTCCTGTCTCTGCCTGGTTCTAATGTGTCTTATTACTTCCCAGGATAAACACTTCTGGACTTATTCCTTCCTGATTTCTCCTTCTTTGTTATCTTTTTCTAATTTTCATTACAATAATTAGGTGGACCTAGTAGACTGTATCTGATGGTGGCCTGTTACCATGCTTATCTGAATAATTCCTCAGTGTTTTTGTCTGACATTTCATTCCAGTGATGATTTATTTTGATAATATTTTCTTTCCCTTAAAATGGTATCCATCAATGACAAAGCATAGTAATTGTGCAAGTAAAACTCCTCACAGAGTGAGGTTGGCAATTGTAGGACTGTCTTAGGCCCCTGTGAACATTGTCTCCTACTGGCTGCTTTCGGCCTGATCCTTTAGCTCCTGCAGATCCATGATTGTTAATTTTTCATGAAACTTTCCTGCTATGGTGGACTTTAGCCTCCAACATAAACAAAAGGAGTGAGGTTGGCAATTGTAGGACTGTCTTAGGCCCCTGTGAACATTGTCTCCTCCTGGCTGCTTTCGGCCTGATTCTTTAGCTCCTGCAGATCCATGATTGTTAATTTTTCATGAAACTTTCCTGCTATGGTGGACTTTAGCCTCCAACATAAACAAAATAAATCCTTTCTTTCTAATCCTGATCTGTCAGATATTTAATCACAATAGAAAATACCTAGTATGACACGACCGAAGCCACAGTGGTCAGAGTCCCCACAAATGTCACCTCATTTAATGACATGCTCACTGTACCCTGCCTGGCTGCCCACTTCTCTGCTCCCTCAGCACCTGCTCCTCCAGATGTGCGTCCCCCAGCAGCTCCTGTGGTGGCTGCAGCTGTCGCTCCACTTGTTCCTTGGGAATAAACAATGGGGTTCACTGCAGCTATGAAAACCTCCTAGGGCACTGATAGCTGTATTCACATTATTAGTGTTCATAATGTGGTTATGCTCCTCTCTGATCCTCTCTGCCAAGGCTTGTGCTGACCCCACCCCAGCCCCTAGAGCGAGAGGTCTTGACTTACCTGACACTGATACAGCACTCCAGGCTCCAAATCTTCCAGCCGTGCTTCTCCTGCCTGCTCCTGAGGTTGTTTCCAGAGACTCTTCAGCCGAACCTGACAAACAGGGGCAGTGGATTCAAATTTGCTGATTCCTCTGAAGGGACAGTGGCGAGTTCAAGTCAAATTTTCATCATCTGCTCCTTTCCCATTATGATCGAGATGGCACACCTGTTGTCCAGGCTGGACATGTTTAAAGTACTAAGGTGCATGGTTTGAATTACCTGAGTCTCCTTGACGTGAAGTTCCAGGACTGTGTTCTCTGGGCATGCTGTGCTCCCCACCAGTACGTATTGGTGCAGTGGAACCTCCTAGTGCTGCTGATGAAACTATCAATGAAAATATGTCCAAGACAGAAAACTAATTCATGTTGTGAAAAATCTCTGTATCGGGTAACATGCCTCATTGACTCAATGTGATTAAGTGACCCCCCCATTTCAGAAGTAAACAGCACATCCACCACCCAGACATAAGCATCTAGTGCCATTTGGGCTCCTCCATCACCTGTCAAAGATTAATTCTCAAAGTGTTGTTGTTTATGGTTTGAACATGCCATAGATGTTGATAGAGAAATGACAATTTTTATTAAAATGATATGAAGCACAAGTTTTTGTTCTCTAGATAGAAAAAAAGTCCCATTGTGTCAAGTTACTTTCTTTCTAAGGGCAGGATCCCTGTTTCAAGTTAATACATCAAGGACCTCAACATACACTGGTGGACGCTCCTCACCTGGGGAACCAACATCAAGTGGCCTCTCTCATGGGCGCTCAAAGGACCCGATAACAAAGGGCATAATTGACAGAGAGTTTACTGCTACCATAGGCACCCTGCTTCAGAAGTTTAAAAATATGGGTTCAGTGGACATCACGGTAAAGGTACAATATGTTTAAGATGATTACAATTACTTATTGTATGTCTTGTGTCTAGATTCTTTTTTCAACAACTATTTTGTCAGTATATATTATCCTGAAACACACCTAAGTCCTATATTTAAAGTGAATTGAATTGATGGGAGATGTTTAGGATAACATCGCACCGTAGATTCTGACTTCAATCATATATTTAAGTCAAACAAATTGCTGAGAAAGGTTTAGCATAGTATCAGGCCTGAGAATAGCTCAAAGCAAGATATCTGAGGGTGCTGGAGGGAAGGCTCACTGGTTAAGAGCACTGACTGCTCTTGCAAGGACCTGCGTTTGATTCCAGCACACACGTGATGGCTGGCAAACATCCGTATGTCCATTTCAGGGGACTCCAACACCCTCTTCTGGCCTCCACTGGCATTGCAATGCAGGGGTGCACTTATACACATGCAGGCAATACACTCGATACAAACAATAGAAATCATAAATAAAATATTTTCTTAAAGTAGTTGAAGTCCCACATAAACATTGAAGAAATGGTCTTGCCGGTATGCAAAGTGCGGTTTTATTTGGTGGTCATCAGAATATTAAGTGTCACAGAAACGGAGGTTGGTTGGGTGTTTGACACTGATGCCTGCCAACGGTGGAGGACAGAAGGGACAAGCACAGCTTTTGACGTTTGTGCAATATGACCCATTCCCACACATCATAGAACCCAAAGGGTGGCCAGCGGTTGTCCATGAAATTTAAGAATGTGATTTCCTACGATGACACTGCAACTTGGACAACTCACCACAGTCTCAACTCAGAGGGAGTTCACTGCCACAGATTCATGTCCACTAACTTCACACCATAGATTCTGACTTCAATCATATATTTTAAGTCAAACAAATTGCTGAGAAAGGTTTAGCATAATATCAGGCCTGAGATTAACTAAAACAAGATATTTGAGGGGGTTGGAGAGAAGGCTCACTGGTTAAGACCAATGACTGCTCTTGCAAGGACCTGTGTTTGATTCCAGCACACACATGGCAGCTAGCAAACATCCGTATGTCCAGTTCAGGGGACTCCAACACCCTCTTCT